CCTCCTCCTCCTCCTCCTTCTTCTTCTTCTTCTTCTTCTTCTTCTTCTTCTTCTTCTTCTTCAATACAGAGTCTCACTACATAGTCCTGGTTGGCCCCAAACTCACAGAGAGCTGTCTGCCTCTGCCTCTCAAGTGCTGGCTTCAAAGCTGTGCACCACCACACCTGGCTATTTTTCTTTCTAAAAGGTTGATTTTGATCATGTTTGTGTGTAGGTATATGTGTACAGATGTGGGTAAATGAATGTGAATGTGAGTACAGGTACCCTTGGAGGCCAGAGATGCCAGATCCCCTGGCGGTTATGAGCTACCAAACATGTGTTTTCAGAGCCAAAGTCTGAAAAAGCAGCAAGCACCCTTAACCGCTGAGCTGTCCCCCCCAACCCCCTGTCTATTTTTCTTAGTTTTATCACATGGAGCAGAGCCAGCTTGTTCCTGATTAACTCTGGATTGGCACAGCTGGCGGTCCTGGATGCTGCCATAAATTCCCTCTAACTCTAATCTCTAATTGCTCAGGGCAGTGGCTAGGGTGCCATTGATTTTCCATTTTGGGCCTTTTCACAGGGAGTGCTTATCACTCTGCCAGGGTCGGCTGTGTCCCACAGGCTTTTATCACTGTGCAGAAAATCGAATCCTGACTCTCACATCCCCTTCCAGCTCTGGTCATCTTTTCAAGATAAATGAGCTGCGAGGGAGAGGAAAATGTTGTTTAGTGGTGGAGGTGGGGTGTGGGCACATCCCCAAGAGTGTGGCATGACTCTTAGTCTTCTGTTGCCCTAAGAACTTGGGTCCCCCAAGTTCTAGAGTTACCAAACACCGTTGTTTCCTTCTCAGAGCAGAGGCCTTCCTCTTCTCCCTGGTTCAGCCCACACTGTGGCAGTGTTTTGTTTCAGCCCACGGTGACTTTGCCTCTCTGTGCGCCTAGTTCTGGCCCTTCAAATGGGCCACCTGGAAGCAGTCCTTGCTGTGGCTTTCCTGATTTCCCAGCATTTATCTGCACACAGCAGCATCTGCCCTGTGGATCTGAG